CGGTTCTCCCCACAGTTGTCCACCCCGCCGGTGCTGATGGTAATTCCACTGGGCCAGGCACCGCGGCCAAATGCTCTGCGGTGGCCATTCCCTCCACTTGTGGTTCTGGAGCTCTCGTCGAAACGGGGATCCTGTCCTTGATTGCAGTCATCTCAGTGGGATTCAGTGGGCGGTCGTACAGAAAGACGTTCTTCACCGTCACAGGTGGGTTTTGCATACCGCACGCGCCAAAGCAAAAGTATGCGAGTTCAAGTTGCCTCTCACCTGTTAACGGCGTTTCTTCCTCCCCCAGCGACTCACCATCAATGTACACGGAGGCCTTGTTGCCTTGCAGCATGAGTGCCACCTTGTATTCTTTCTTCGGCTCCCAAGTGCTGCCCTCTGTCGTCGTGTTTTTGCCGTCGAACATCGTCACCCACTTGTTATCCGCGGTATACAAGATTCCCATGGTGTGATTGTAATTAGTGTTCGCCAATAACGCAGTCAGTAGAGGAATGTTCCCACTCGGAACCTGGTGTATGGCCACCGTCGCCACAAGAACGAATTGGCGATTCTCAAAAGTGTATGGCCCATTTTTCTCCCGACTGTTCACCGACCACATTACCCTGGAGTCAGGCTCCGTCACTTGTAATCCATCTTCGACCTTCTTTGCATTAGGCGTCACCGTTGCATTCAGGCGAAGGTACTCGTCGTTCCACGTGCCATCACTGGCCGCATCGGACAATACCGCCACAAGACCCGCCGTGGGTATAGACAACCTGGAGAAGAAAATGTCCTTTTGCGACCAAGTACTGAGGACGGAATTGATTGTGCTCAGCTCCTCCGTCAGGCGAGAAAGCGACATGACACTGCCTTCACCATTGCCCCTCCGTTGTAAAAGATGCAAACTCCCATCCGAGTACAGTAGTGCGCTCTCAAGCTTCTCCTTTTCGGCATTGTCCATGGAAACAGGTCCAACATGAAACGAGCGGTTGTTTTCCATGACCCAAAGATAGAGCGCTCTTTCCCTTTGCTTCCCCGAGAAGTTCCCTCTCTGTGTGTACAGCATGATCTTCCTGCCCTCAATGGTCGCGGTGATGAGGGCATCCACGTGCAAGCTCAGATCCCAAAAGAATGATCGTGAGTTGACCCAAATGCCTGGAAGCGTCCCGATGGCCTCCGTCCACGTTGTCCCCATCTCCCGCGACTCGTACACCCTCTGGGCATCCACACAATCAACAATCATGAGAAGTGATCCCTCCCATTCGTTAATGCAGGGGTTAACGCATTTCGCAGGGGGCATGCCCTTAGAGAGCGACCAGGTACTGCCGTTGTCCGCCAAGTAAATAATCATGGAGTAAACGTCTTCTTCTTAACTCTTCGCCATCAGAGAAAACACAATGGTGCCATCCTCCATCAGAACACCTGCGCCACCAGAAGCAACAAACTCCTTCAATTTTCTTCCTTGAACAGCTCCAGAGGTCTCGTTCAACGGTGATTGAACTTCGCCCCAATTGATCCATCCACTCTGCTCGCTGTCCGTAGGATTCCTGACATCACCCACAAATAGTTTCAGTTCCAGGCTGCCATGACTCCAACTCCCATTTACACTGGACGCATCAGAGCTTCCCGCAAGAAGAAACACCTTATTGTCCTTCGTGGTGGTTGTGGGGCGGAGCACAACATCAAAACGCCCCGTTCCATCCGCTTACCAAGCACGGTGTGTGCTTGCCATTTACCGACCTTTTCAACAAGAGTGGGCCAATCCCACGCAGAGTCAATGTAACAAGCAACTGCATCAGAAGAAAAGGGCCTACTTAATTTCCCATTTTCTTTTTTGGAGCT